GGCTCCACAAACAGGGCTTAGACTAAGACCGAACTTGCTCTTAAATTTAAATGACAGTTTTTATAAAAATTAAAAACACATTACTGTGTGCATCTTGAGACCACGGTGACGCATTGCTGCCAAACACATATTTTTTTCCCACTCAGCTATGTTGTTATACCGATCTTTTTTCGTAAAATGGACATCTTAACATTGATGTATTTCTTCATTATTTGTGTACTTTACATAAATGATTTAAAATATGGGTAAATTCTCACCTGTAGTAAGTCAGTTTTGCCTCTAAGAATGTGCTACACACTTTAGAATGAGAATATTACATTTAGGTGAATTGCTGTAAATATTTAAATATTAGTTTTAATATACTAATATATTTAAATATTAGTGTGATGTACATACATGAAGGGAAAATTTGTCATTTATAATAATTGGTAATCTCACAAGTCAGTCTGACCTCTGTGAATAAGCTATAACCTTTGCTGTGAGAAAAAAAAAAAAAAACATTTAAGTGATATATGTATATATACATATGTATGTATTTTTTACTACTCGCCGGCAGCTATCTCTCTGCAACTCTCACATAATCACCCACTGAAGCTAAGCAGGGCTGCACCCGGTCAGTACCTGGATGGGAGACCACATGGGAAAGCTAGGTTGCAGCTGGAAGCGGTGTTAGTGAGGCCAGCAGGGGGTGCTCAACCTGCAGTCTGTGTGGGTCCTAATGCCCCAGTATAGTGACGGGGACTCTATACTGCTCACTGAGTGCTGTCTTTTGAATGAGACGTTAAACTGAGGTCCTGACTCTCTGTACTCATTAAAAATCCCAGGATGTCCTTCGAAAATGAGTAGCGGTTTAACTCTGGCATCCTTGCCAATTCTGCCCACTAGCTTCTGTCTATCATGGCCTCCTAACCCTCCCTATGTCATAATTGGCTTCATCACTCTGTCTCCTCTCCACCAGTCAGCTGCTATGTGGTGTGCGGTCTGGTGCAAAATGGCTGTCGTCGTGTCATCCAGGTGGATGCTGCACAATGGTGGTGGATGAGGAGATCCCCCTATTGTGTAAAGCACCTTGAGTGCCCAGAAAAGCGCTATATAAATGTAAAGACTTATTATTATTATTATTATTACTTGTACTTATGATGAGAGGTATTGCCAATCTCTACTTGTGTACAGTATAGTTATGAAGAGACAGTCACTTTCCTGTAGTTCATCAACCTGTATGCTTAGTAGTTGGCCGGCGGTGTGCAGGAATTACACTTATTACTAAGCCATATACTTACATGCTATTTTTGTGGGAATGGATGCACAGATGTTCAAATCGACAATATTTGATTGGATGAACATTTTTTTGTTTAATGACTTACCCAGAACATAAAAAATACATAAAACATTTAGGTCATTTACTTTAATCAATACTATTGGAATGTGAAGAGACTTTTAACCACAACCAGCACAACAAAGATATTTCTGAAGACAATCACCTACACCTTTAAACCAACTTTACCGAGCTTTTATTATTATTATTATTTTATTATTATGTGTAAAGTAAGACTAAACAAATACAGTACATTATGGAGAAGATGGAGAAACAAAAAGAAAACATTTTGAAAAAAAAAAAAAACAAAACAAAAAAAAAAAAACAGAAGCTGTATAAACATCTCTCATTAAAGAAAAAGATTATAAAATTTACAAATTTCAGATGTTTTTAAAGCCTTTTTTGTAAAGGAGTTAGACATAAATATATAAAAACGGTTTTAAGTTTGAAAATGTAACATTTTCAATTTTACATTTAAATTTACATTTATATATATATATATATATATATATATATATATATATATATATATATATATATATATATATATATATATAGTATTTGCTGAACATTTCCAGTTAAATGCATAACAAGTCTTACAATATTACAAATTTTAGCACAACATGTATAAACAAAGTAACAAAAAAGAAAAAACAAATAAAGAACAAGAGCGGGTATACATAACATTCACCATAGAGAAGAGGAGTTTAGCTTTTTAAGTATATTCACAGTTCTGGTCGCAGTACATTACGACTTGAAAGTCCTTTAAGAGTCTCAAAACAAAATTTTTAAATCAGCCTTAAAACAGAAAATGTTAGGCTTCCTCTTCAACCATTCACACTTGTGTATATGTAACTTGCCCAATTATATCAACAGATTTAACATAAACAGGATATTCTTATCTATTTCTTTTTATCTATATAAAATATGACATCTCTTTTCTTAATAATAATTCTATGACCACTAAGTATATTAAATAGACATTCAACATCAAACCAGAAATGTTTAACATACATACAATCAAAAAAAAAAAAAAAAAAAGCATAACAGTCTCAACATCCATTCCACAAAAAACACACGATTTAGAAAGATCAACTTGACTATGCTAAATAAAACTTTACAGAGCCTTCTTCAGTGACGTCACTCGCTCCACTGAGTGCTGACATCTCTCTGCAGTATCCAGAAACTATTGGAGATATTTGAGCAAGTTGTTCACACAGCTTGGAACCATCGATTTTACAACAGAGTTAATAACGCGCGGAATTAACTTCTCGTTAGCGCGGTTCTCGTGTACTTCTGGTCATTTATAGTTCAGCAGGCAACATGTGTACCATCAGGGCCCTGATCGGCAGGTAACACTTTCCCCACTGAAAGTATCAAAACACTTATGTATTTATGCAGGGGGTGCAGAATTATTAGGCAAATGAGTATTTTGACCACATCATCCTCTTTATGGATGTTGTCTTACTCCAAGCTGTATAGGCTCGAAAGCCTACTACCAATAAAGAATATTAGGTGATGTGCATCTCTGTAATGAGAAGGGATGTGGTCTAATGACATCAACACCCTATATCAGGTGTGCATAATTATTAGGCAACTTCCTTTCCTTTGGCAAAATGGGTCAAAAGAAGGACTTGACAGGCTCAGAAAAGTCAAAAATAGTGAGATATCTTGCAGAGGGATGCAGTACTCTTAAAATTGCAAAGCTTCTGAAGCGTGATCATCGAACAATCAAGCGTTTCATTCAAAATAGTCAACAGGGTCGCAAAAAGCATATGGAAAAACAAAGGCACAAAATAGCTGCCCATGAACTGAGAAAAGTCAAGCGTGCAGCTGCCAAGATGCCACTTGCCACCAGTTTGGCCATATTTCAGAGCTGCAACATCACTGGAGTGCCCAAAAGCACAAGGTGTGCAATACTCAGAAACATGGCCAAGGTAAGAAAGGCTGAAAGACGACCACTAAACAAGACACACAAGCTGAAATGTCAAGACTGGGCCAAGAAATATCTCAAGACTGATTTTTCTAAGGTTTTATGGACTGATAAAATGAGAGTGAGTCTTGATGGGCTAGATGGATGGGCCCGTGGCTAGATTGGTAAAGGGCAGAGAGCTCCAGTCCAACTCAGACGCCGGCAAGGTGGAGGTGGAGTACTGGTTTGGGCTGGTATCATCAAAGATGAGCTTGTGGGGCCTTTTCAGGTTGAGGATGGAGTCAAGCTCAACTCCCAGTCCTATTGCCAGTTTCTGGAAGACACCCTCATCAAGCAGTGGTACAGGAAGAAGTCTGCATCCTTCAAGAAAAACATGATTTTCATGCAGGACAATGCTCCATCACACGCATCCAAGTACTCCACAGCGTGGCTGGCCAGAAAGGGTATAAAAGAAGAAAAACTAATGACATGGCCTACTTGTTCACCTGATTTGAACCCCATTGAGAACCTGTGGTCCATCATCAAATGTGAGATTTACAAAGAGGAAAAACAGTACACCTCTCTGAACAGTGTCTGGTAGGCTGTGGTTGCTGCTGCACGCAATGTTGATGGTGAACAGATCAGAACACTGACAGAATCCATGGATGGCAGGCTTTTGAGTGTCCTTGCAAAAAAAGGTGGCTATATTGGTCACTAATTAGTTTTTGTTTTGTTTTTGAATGTCAGAAATGTATATTTGTGAACGTGGAGATGTTATATTGGTTTCACTGGTAAAAATAAATAATTGAAATGGGTAAATATTTGTTTTTTGTTAAGTTGCCTAATAATTATGAACAGTAATAGTCACCTGCACACAGAGATTTCCCCCTAAAATAGCTAAAACTAAAAACAAACTAAAAACTACTTCCAAAAATATTCAGCTTTGATATTAATGAGTTTTTGTGGTTCATTGAGAACATGGTTGTTGTTCAATAATAAAATGATTCCTCAAAAATACAACTTGCCTAATAATTCTGCACTCCCTGTAGATTCATATTTTATAAGGTTTATAATTATATGGTCAAACTGATATATAATACAATTAAATATAGTTTAAATAAGTGTATACAATAAAACGAATTAACTCATTGTATGTGATGCTTTTCTCTCGTAATTGAACGTATTTTTAGCATGTTTTACTTCATGTATGCAAAGTTTCTACTTTTTATGGCACAGGCTGTTTATAAATGCAGTTATATGTATCAATTTCGTTTCTGGCTAAGCTGCAATCGTTATTACCATTAATGAGCTAAATCAAAACAAAACATTGTATACCTAATTTCAGCATTAGTTGTTGTTCACCACTAGATGGCGCACTTGTTATTACTGGAATAAATGTTAGTAGGCAAAGGAATATTTTACTTCATATTATAAACCATTTCAATGTAGTGTTGTAATTGGCCCATGAACATTTACAGCTTATTGTTAAACTATTGTATAACTATTGTATTATAACAGTGATCATAATAATATTTATCAATGTATAGATTTTTTTTTAGATTCTCAAAAGCTACTGAAATTAAAAATGTATAACAATAAATATGTTGGGACAATTGTTATTGTTTACATCCCTCAAAATTGTCTGTATTTTCCTTTTTAGGTATTGGTGGAGGAAATCTTTGAAGCATCAAAACACATTATAGTATCTCAAAGGAGAAAATACATGAATTCAGAATGACATAAAGGGGTAAGTATTCACGCATTTCCATTTGATAAAATGTGAACTGTTTATTTATTAAATCAGCTTAAATATGATACAGAGGGAAGGTTGGATATTTGTCTGAAATAAGCAGAACTTAAATTGTTAATTAGCAAAAATTACATGTAATTTTAAAACAGTCAAAACAAAGCAATTACGTAAACTAATCTTTTAATAAAGCTAAATAATGTAACAATGCTTTTTGGCATAAATAATAAAAAATGCATAGATAAAGATCTAGGAATGATATATAGACAGTTTTGCAGCATCTTCAAGGCCTTCATTAACTCAGTCATTCAATTCTTTCAGACCTGGAGAAAAGATGATCATGTATTTAGTTTTATTTTTAAAAACCAGAATAATCATTGTATTAAGATACCATAATAATGCAGGTGTTTTACCTTGCAGTCGGTTTTGAATCCAGCGTGCTTTTGGGTCAGTGCAGTACCTTTCCTTCTCTGCGTAGAAGCTGTAGGACAGAAATACAGTACTGAGATGAACACAATATTGTACATATAAAAAAACTGATATAATATACATAGAGTTGAAGTCAGAGTTATTAGCCCCTCTTAATTATTAGCCCCCGTTTATCCCCCCCCCCCCCAATTTCTGTTTAATGGAGAGAAGATATTTTTCAACAAATTTCTAAACATAATAGTTTTAGTAACTCATTTCTAATAACTGATTTATTTTATCTTTGCCATGATGACAGTAAATAATATTTTACTAGATATTTTTAAGACACTTCTATACAGCTTAAATTGACATTTAAAGGCCTAACTAGGTTAATTAGGTGAACTAGGCAGGTTAGGGTAATTAGACAAGTTATTTTATAACAATGGTTTGTTCTGTAGACTATTGGAAAAATCTAATTAGTTTAAAAGAACTAATAATTTTGTTCTTAAAATGTTTCAAAAAAAATTAAAACTGCTTTTATTTTAGCTGAAATAAAACAAACAAGACTTTCTCCAGAAGAAAAAAAATATTATCAGACATACTGCGAAGATTTCCTTGCTCTGTAAAACATCACTTGGGAAATGTAAAATAAAAAATTAAAAGGGGGCTAATAATTCTGACTTCAGCTGTATAAAGGAATGTAGACTATGAAGTGAGAACTTACATTATAGCATCAACACATGGACTCAGAGCAGGCTGATGCTTGTACGCAGTCAGTTTAATATCAGGAGGGATTCTTCCCCTGGACACTTCCTTACAGCATGTTACTCCAACTCGAGTGGGGCGACGATCTGAAAGAAATGCAGAGATTTTAATTTCCAACATCATGCTGTAGACATAGTGTAGCGTATATGTGTGAAAACGAGAAGATCGTGAGCTTGATAAGGGCACCATTAAAGAAAACAAAACCGCATAGCAGCTTAACGGCATAGTGCTGCAGTGCTTTCACTAACATTACAAGGACATTCATGCAAAAATAAACAAATTTGCAGTTATTTTTGTATTTACGCCTATTAGTAAAACTAGTATTCAGCTTAAAGTGCTAAGGCTAATTAGGTTAAGGATAGGCAAGTTGGGGTAATTAGGCAAGCGTTGTATGGTTTGTTTTGTAGACAATTGAAAAAAAAAATAGCTTAAGAGGCTAATAATATTGACCTTAAAATGTTTTTCAAAAAAAATTAAAAACTGCTTTCCATCTAGCCGTAATAAAACATTTAAGACGTTTTCCGGAAGAAAAATATTCTCGGAAATACTGAGAAAAATTTCTTGCTCTGTTAAACATCATTTGGCAAATCTTTGAAAAAGAATAAAAAATCATAATAATAAAATAATTATTTACTAATAACTCTATATATTACAGACAAAACTAAATGAATATCAGAAACGGTAAGTAAATTATCACAATATTAATTTTTGGCTTTGTTTAAACATCATTAATAGACTATTATGCCTCACGAATGCCTGTTGGTGTGAATTAAATAAAATAAATAAAAAGTTTGAGTATAACCAACCCTTAAACAATAACAATAATATTAATAATAATAATAATCAAATCCATAAATATGAATACAGAAAAGAACTTACAGTTTCCTTGCTGTGCGGTAACACAAACAAAAACCATCATCATCAGAGCTAATTTGCAGCTAAGATGCATGATGTTTTGCGAAAAAATGTTTAGATAAAGAGAAGAGGAAGAAGTCTGCAGGCAAGTATGTTTTTTTGAAGATGCTATCTAGCCCTGAGTCCTTTTATACATGTTTTTTTACAACAGGATGTGCATCTCTAGCCAGAGTAACTTCATAAGAGTCATGTGACAAACTAGCCATAAATCATGATCAAAGCAGTTTGACATCCTGTAAATGTATTTTTTTTTTATTTTCTATAAGCAGTAATACACAAAGAGACTGCATGACTGATATTGATATCTAAAATGATGCCTGTTTAGTTACTTACAGTTGGCTTGTGCTCCAGTAAAGCATCCCATTAGGGCGATCAAAACAGCAATGGTGAGTAATCTAGCAGTCCATGCCATAGTTCTTGGTGTCCAGATCAAGGTGTTTGGTGATGGTCAGCTGCGCGTGTGTTGATAATGTGAGTGCGTAATTATGAGGGGATCTTTTAAGTGTTTTACAGCAGTCAGATGGAATGAATGTGTCACAAAATGCTCCAGCATAATTCTGAAACCATTGCATCAAGTGATCATCTGCCTTCACAGGTTTTCACACTTCGCACCCACAAAACAGTCAGTTTTACGAATCAGCATAATTTATGAGAAACCAATATCCCCCCAGAAGAAAAATAAACTAACAAACCACAATGGCACGTAGGTTTTAATTTGTGTTAACTAAACAACACGTATACTGCTTGAAATAAAATAAATGTTTACTTTATTAGAAATGTTTTTTTTATTAAAACGTAATCGCTTATTTTATTTGTTTCAGTTCATGTACTAGAATAGCTAAAACTAAAATAAACAAAAACTAGATAAAGTAGATAAAATTATGAAAATATAAAATAGAATATATAAAACTGATATAAAGCTGATATGTATGGTTTTCCCTTTACACCCAACCCAGAAATGTGGGTACTCTGGTTCTCTGCCGGATTATAATGTGCCCATACAAAATCATAATTTATTAAATGATTATTGCTAAGAGTGTCTTTCTGAAACTCCGGAAATCAGACTCTGTTCCTCAATTTAAGACATGGTTAAATCATCTCATTCAAATATTGCACATGGAAAGAGTCCACTATGGAGTTACTGATAATCTTGATAGGCTTTACAATATATGGCAATTATTTCTTGATCACCTGGACCAAATATAATGCGGATTCTGAGCAGTGGTGTGATGCTATTCTCACTACCCTATTAACTGCCTCTGTATTTTCGTTGAAACCTTTTATGTTTATATGCCCTATTTTTTTAAATAACTTATTTATTATTAATTTATTTTTAATTATTATTATTATTATTATTATTATTATTATCAGCATTATTTTGGTTGTAGTATCATGATTATTTCGTGTATTTAATTTTTTTATTTTTGTTGTGTTGCTTGGTAATTATTAAAAAAATGTAAAACAAATAAAAACACTTGTTAAAAACTGCAATACTGTTTGAGAAATAATAGTAATAATAGTAATAGTAATAACAACAACAACAACAACAACAACAATAACAACAACAAATACTACTACTAATAATATATAAATGAATTAACAATAGTATTCAGAATCAGAATCAGTTTTATTGCCAAGTGTGCTTCACACACACACACACACACACACAAGGAATTTGTTTTGGCTAAAGAAGCTTCCAGTGTACATAAAGTGACGAGTGACAACACAAAATAAATATAGAAAAAAGAAATATGATATACAATAAACAGAGAAGCAGTTAGTCAAGAAATCTGGATGTTGAATTGTATGTACAGATTTGGTATAAACATGTAAAACTAATACAGATTTGTTATAAATATGTAAAACTAATAAACACTTGTTAAAAAAAACTCAATACTATTTAAGAAATAATAATTACAACAAATAATAATAATAATAATAAAAATAAAAACTAATCAAAAATAGTATTCAAAATTTCAATAATTTTGGGACTTTAATAAAAGGTTTATATATATATATATATATATTTATTTTGTATCACCTATAATTTGGGGTCTCTTGAACTGAGAATACTTTAGGTTTAGTAGATCCATTTTCACCCAAATAATCAACAAAGAATTGCTCGTTTTCAAGTGTAAATGTTGTTCTGTTTTTCATAATGAATAATAAAACATTATGGAGAAAACAACTGTGAAAAAATAATGCACATCCTTTTTTAAATTATTATTTTTGTATATATTTTGTTTCTTTCTTTCTGTACAGTGGATCAACTTTTTTTTAAATCTACAAAAAATACATTTTAAAAGTAGCCTAATTAATTAAAACAAACAAAACCCATAATTACAATTAATGATTAAAAGTTTGTAAGATAAAAGCAGATTTCCCAAATTGAGAGAACATTCCTTTTTGAAATAAATGTTTGAAAAAAAAGACGAACAAATTTATTTAGCAACATAATTTGATTATGGATGAAATGTACTTCTGTAGCAAATATTACACAGCCAGAAACCAGTTACAAAGAAAAGTAAAAAAAAAAAATAGAAAAAAAAGAAAAGGTGTCTTTATGCAAAGGAAGAACATCGTTAACACATTCAGAAACATCGACCACAAGCAAACAGTAGTTGCTGATCACAATTTATTTCCAGTTTCAGATTTCAGTTGATTTGCATCATACACTGACAAAGAAATTCATATAAATCAATCTGCAATTCACTCAGACTTTTATCAGTACTTCTATCAGTCAACTGTCTACTAGCAGTGATGTGAATTAACTATTTTTCAATGTGAAATACATTATAATCTAAGCTAACAATTTGTTTTAGTGTAGCTCAGTTTAAGATTCATCACTGTCAGCTTGCTCTGTATCTTCAATGTAATTTACAATATACTATATTTAATGTAAATCATGTAAATATTTCCATTATACAAAAGCAAAAGTTTAAAAATGGTTTTAAAAATACTTTCTACGAGATTTGTTGATTTCATATTGAGTTTACTTTTAGACATTTATGATCCATGATATGTCTGAAGCTTAAGCAGATCCTTCCACATTAGTTCACTTACTAATGGATGATCGTGGTGCAAATGTCAGTTGAATGTCTTTTTTAAAGTTCTGCTGTTAAAAAAGTAATAAATAATATAAATACAAATAATAAAGCAATATTAATTAAAATGTACCCTATAAAATACACAACAAAATAAATGAATGTAAAGCTTTTATTTTGCTACACGTTTCCTCTGAGTTGATTTGTTCTACTTACAAAAACTGCAGAACTTTTCTTCGCACCCATGGTTGTCTGGGATCAGAGCAGAAATGCCCTCGATCAGTCTCAAAACTTTCAAAGAGAATAAAAACATAAATAAAATGATAATTAAAGTCATATGCTGTTGAGCTCTAGACTAAAAACTATGAAATATAAATATGTAACATTAAATTGAATGTTTTCAAATTAAAAGGTTGATTTTTTTTCCAATAATGTTATTTCTTAAAAAAAATGTAATCACTTCTGATCAAAAATAGGTTTTCTGAAATTCTTACATGATGGCCTTCACACATGGAATACTTTCAGGTTGTATCCTTACACTGATGATAGGATCAGTCACCACTACTGTGGAGACAATTATTTCCCCTTTCCTCAAAGGCATTTGTAAAGACTGAAAAGCAAGGTAGTTGTTGTGAAGTTTTACTGATTAGTGGGATTCAAAGAATGAAGTTTTCACATTTTACAGTATTTTCTCACACAGTTTCTCCATACAGTCAGATTCTTTTGAAACAGCACACAAGGCATTTTTTCAGGGCATTATGACAGCATGCTTACTGACAGATTTGAACACAGCCACTCAAAAAGCATAAATAAAAAAAATACAAATCTGAACAAGTTTTTAATAAATAAAATATTTAAATAATTGATTACTAATTTAAATAAATCATTTATTATTTGGACAAAAATACATGTAAGGGATACTCAACCTCTTAAAAATTTTTAAATGCAAGATGTGGAGGCAAAGAGCTGCGCAACACGAAGCAGACGTTGATAATCCTCATTACTCTGTGGTCATTTGCCAAGTTAAAGAGACGTTAAAACTAGTTTTATTTTTTGCATTATAGTACTTACTTAAGCTTAGTCAGTCATGACATGATAGATCTCTCAGTGCCCACTTTAAATCAGCCACAGGCAGACATGTTGTGTGTGTGCATGTAAATGATACAACCATATCTAACAGCTCATAGTAACACGTGTTAGCTACTTCTTCACAAACATTTTTGAGCATATTGGTAAGCTGATTGATCTCCATTGGCTCTCTTGTGAAGCACATGTTGAGATTACTCAGAGGAATTAATGCTCTGGCAACTGTTAGTTCCTGTGGTTACTATTAATTTTTGAGGGGAACACATTAATTTCAAACTGTGATCAAAACTGACTGAAGTTACCTGTACATTAAACGATTTTAATCAACTTCCAGCCAATCAGAACCACAAATTTCAATAGACCATGGAATAATTCCAAATAAAGCCTCTTCCTGAGTTTTTTGTGTGCCTTTCACAAAAGAAAAGAGTGTGCTGAGTTTTTGCTGTGGCCTGAGGTTGTGGTAATTTTTCATGTCAAGGGTGAAAATCTGACTCATGATATCACCATGAGTTTAAAGGGTTAAACTGGCATATTGCTGTCACACTTACGTGTACATACTTGACCACAGTGGCACTTCCCTGACATTTTGTCTTGTTTATGGTAATTTTAATTTTTGTGTGTGCCTCATACTAGACTTTTAAAGCATGTTGGCATCAATTAAACAAATCATATTAATCATAATTAAAATAAGCAACTTTACAATGATCAGTGGATTATTATAAAGTAGTACTATAAAATATAAATTCAGTAATAATACAGATATCCTAGAACTTACCTGAAGCTTTCTGTGATGTAACAAGAACTGTCATCATCATCAGAGCTAACTTTAACAAATATTCATCATGTTTTGTGAAAAATACCAAGATAAAGACAAGAGGAAGAAGTCTTCAGACTAGTTTGTTGTGAAGACGCTGCTACTACTACTTCTTCTTTGGGTTTTAATGGCAACTTACATATTGCATTACTGCCATCTTCTGGAGATAATTACTTCATGTATCGTATCCAGCCTTGCTAATGGGCTCTATGCACAGCTCGAGTTTTAAAGCCTTTAAACTTCTGGTGAAAGCTCAACGTGAATATTTTTAAATTTCACAAGGTTGTTTTTATAGCATCAAGGTTGTAATGTACATGCATTACATTCAGTTACATTGACTTAAGCATTCATTTAGTTGTTCAAGTGTAAAACGAGATAAAATACCGCTGTAACCACTAGCGCCGTCAGTTGCAACAGGTTAGCGCAGAAATTGCTTAGAAAATACTGGGGTAAAATAAACTGTCATATTTTAAACAAATGGCAGGGGGAAATGGATTTTAATGCAGTGCTCCTTGTCCGATCTGAGATCCACTACATCGCATGTCTAATATATCGTATGTCTAACAGGCAGTGAAAATGTCTTAAACGTAACAGTTTTGTAATGAGAAGACAGTTCACCGGAAACCCTTGGGCTCACTGCCTGAAAATGAAAAGTCTGTGTGCATATAATCCATACTGATTTTGCCGCAGACCCAAATGCTCCCATAGTCCATTCTAGAATATTAGGGAAATATATAAATATTGTAATTAATCTTCTCTCATTAAAATCTGCTCCAAAGTCAACACTTGCAATACATCTTATTCATCTTGTATCACTTTTTAACGTTTGTCCTTAACATGAATTCTCCATGTTAGCTGTGAATGAAACTACAGCCCCTAAAATGCTAACTTTCAACTCTTATTTAAAAAAAAAAATATTTTCAATTCAGTATGTTCATTTCACTTCCTTCCTTTATCATATAGAGCAATGTTTCTCAACCACATTCCTAGAGGACCACCAGCTCTGCACATTTTTCATACTAATGCTCTATTCTATGCTATTTTGATGTAATCAGTGTAAGTGCGTTCACACTGAAAAATCTAAAAAGAACAAGTGCACTTTAAATAACCGGATGGTGCACATATTCAAAGAGTAAAATGAAGTTTATAATGATGGACATTTTACGCACTCAACGGCTGCTGCTTTGCTCATGTAGCGGAAGCTATCGGGCACTGATGTTGGATTACTTTATTTATTTTGGATTGTTAAAGCAAAATACGTCTATGAGAGGGATTATAGAGCCGATGGTGAATGTGGTTATAATCATGGCAGGTATCATTTGGTAGTTTGGTCATTTAGGCTATGTCATATTTGGCAACCTTCAAACGTCATCAGGAAAATGGATTGAATTTTCCATAGTAAAAAAAAAATTATGCCGTGTCCCAATTCACATACTTATACTACGCCCTAAAAGGATGTACTTTTTTGTAAAGGAAAAGTATACACCTTTGAGCAGGCACATGCACACATAGGGCTCAACCTGTTAACTTCCTCGTTAACAGATTGTTATGTTGCTTAGTTACATCCCCTGTCAATCATCTTGACACATCATTCCCATTTCTTTCATATTTACCATATTGGAGAAGCAGCAGCCGGATAAACTGCCATTCATGAATCTTCATGCAGAGAAATCTTCTCAGGTCTTTGGGCAATTTGCTGGCAGCTAGCTATCTGCAACTCTCACATGGTCGTCCACTGAAGCTTAGCAGGGCCTGGTCAGTACTTGGATGGGAGACCACATGGGAATTGGGAATGGGACCACTGCTGGAATTGGCAATAGTATCTGGATGCAGCCATTATGATGCAAGCTGAGACTGCATCATTTAGCGATGCAATGTCAGACTCAATGCACTTAATGGAGTAAGTGACGTCACTTTGACGGGTAGGGTTAGGGGTGGGGTTAGGTGAGCGCATTAAAAAGCATTGGATGCAGCTCAGATTGCACTGCACCGAGTCTGCTGCCCGACCCCTTTCGGAATTGGTGTTAGTGAGGCCAGCAGGGGGCACTCAACCTGCGGTCTGTGTGGGTCCTCCTAACAATATAATGAAGGGGATGCTATACTGTCAGTGAGATTACAAAAATGTGTTAAAGTGCTTTGTAAATGTAAGTTATTATTATTATTATTATTATTATTATTATTATTATTATGCATTCAGAAGTTAATGTCCAAACATATCTTGATATAAGTTCACATTGTTGTTGCAGATGAAATATAACATGGAAAACTTGGTTTAAATATGTTCCAGTTGACTAGATATTGATTAACAGTCATTCAAACAACTTTACCAAAGCCTCTCTACTTGACCCTTGATCTTGTGTCAGCCATGTTTGTAGTTTGGTTACACTTTTTACCCTGCACAGTTTAGTTCCAAACCTGCCTCAACTCATATTTCAAATACATTTAAAGCAAGCCTGAAAGACTAAATTTTTTAGTCTCCTCAGATTTATTTAATTGGGTTTAAAGCTAAACTGTTCAAGATCTGACCCTCCAGGAACATAGTTTGACATTTTGTGATATATAGATTCCTAATGGAATGTAATGGAATTTTCCTGTACTTTTTCTAATAGTTTCAGCATAAGCAACGGATTATGCTGGATTTTCGTCTTGGTATGTTTTATTACTTTGTATCCCCAGAAAGCAGTATGATTTCTTCCACAATACCAACACTTTGGCTTAACACCCTCCCCTCATTTCCAGTACTCATGATCTCCTCTACATTTAGCACATCTTCTCTGATTTTATGTCCCTTTATGACCAAATTTCTGGCAGTTATAACATCTCACAGGTTATTTCCTTACATTAAACTTAAATCTAATCAGATATTTTTGTCTGTCAATATTTGCAAGAAGAATCTCTGTTTAATTTTTTTATTCAGTTTGGCAAATTTAAGATCTATCTCACACTCTAAAACACTTTAAATAGGAGACTCTTTCTATCACTCCTATGCAACAGTTTTGTTACAAATAACAATAATCAAATGTCTCCCAGTACTCTTGCATACTTAATTTCTCCTATTTGCATATTTTGTTTGGCTCAGTGCTTTAACATTCTTTACCTTCTCCTTCTCCCTCAAAACCTCACAACCACATGCAGCAAGTCAAACCTCAAATCAACTGCTTTTGCTTAACTCTCTGATTCACCCCTCTGACTTTTTTTTTTCTTCTCATGACTAGTCAATTTCTAAGCTGTAGCTCTTCTTATTACATCCTCCCATTTATTTCTCCTTGGTCATCGCTACACTGCAAGTTTTTATCACCTTCTGGCTCATTCTGGCACCAACTTGCTAATATATATATATATATATATATATATATATATATATATATATATAAGGTATTTTATACTTTAATAGGTTTGGTAATGCTAATTTTGATTTAATATTTAAGTCATCTATAACTTATATATTTTTTCATTTGAGGCCTTTTGGTTATGTGATTATTTTCAAAGAATACATTTCCGGTGTTTACTGTCATGTTGTGGAGGAAATTATGGTTAAAAAAATTCTGGGAGTTTTAAAATAACTTTATTTTTGCAATTTTGAGTTTGCGTGCAAATTGCCTGAACTTTATGCATTCTAAATACATACAGTTAAATATAAATTATTTTGTTGCACATTTACGATTGAAGGTCATAGTCGTAGGCATTATACTAAAATTTACACTGTAAGAAAAGTTGAAAGTGTAATGGTTTGCATAATAAATACATATTTTCACCCATATTTTCTTATTATTTACACTAAGTGGACCACATTTAATTACTGTAAATTTACACATAAAGGACATTTTGAAAGCAGCATTTACATGCACGCAGTTTTAATGTGACCTTCATTAGCAGAAGCATTTTTTAAGGTTATAAGGTTGAAGAAATGTCCATCAGCTACATAGATTTGGGGAAAAGGAACCAAAATCACACTGCATGTTACACAGCACATGTAGTACACAGCCAAAAATCAGTTACAAAATGTAAATAATTAAATAAATAATATGGCAAAGAGAAAAAGTGTCTTTATGCCCGAGGAGGAACATCTTTTATGCATTCAGAAACATCAACCACAAGCAAACAGTAGCTGCTGATCACAGTTTATTTGGAGTTTCATATTGCAATACATTTGCATCATACACTCACAATTAATCCAGGTTTGTTCTCATTTAAATTAATCTGCGATTCGCTCAGACTTGCGTCACAATTTAATGACGTAAGTCCAATATTAGTAAATTAAGTGACGTATATTTCAATGTGAAATAAAATATAAGCTTACAGTATGTTTCACATGTTTCATTTTCCAAAATAAGTTAATAAGTTAAGAACAGTCTCATTCAAATTTCTCTACATAATAATTGTGCTTCTATTTGACAACATAACATTTAAATATTCAATTTAAATAGGCTTAACTTAGTAATTGTTACATTTTCAAAATACAACAGCAAAAGTTTATAACAAGCTTAAAAATAACTTTATAGAAATATATTAATATGTCATAAGTTGACTCTTAGAAAATTGTTTTACAATCTGTCTGGAGCTTTAGCAGATCCCTCCACATTGCGCTCACTAATAGATGATGTTGGCAGTGACGTGGATGTCTGTTGACTGATTTTCAAATTTCTGCTGTTAAAAAAAGCAACAAATAAATAAATTAAGAACATACAATACAACAATGCAAACACAAATGTTTCCTATGAAATATGTGACAATATGAATCATTTTAAAGGTTTTATTTTGCTACCTAATTGTTGCGTTTTACTTACATAAATTGCTGAGCTTTCCTCTGCACCCATGGTTGTCTGGGATCAGAGCAGAAATGCCCTCGATCAGTCTCAAAGCTGTCAAGATTAATAAAACATTTAACAAACCAATATTTAAAGTCGTATGCTGTTTTTAAATTGAAAGACTGTTTTTTATGTAAAACATTCTGTAATAATGTTTACTTCTTCAAAAAAGTTCAATCACTTCTGATCAAACATGGGTTTTCTGGAATGAATTGTGATTCTTACATGATGGCATTTACACATGGAAGACTTTTACGTTGTATCCTGACACCGATGATAGGATCAGTCACCTTTACTGTGGAGACTGATTTACAGCAGTTTATCACCCTTTCCGCATCTGCTATGATAGAAAAGCAAAATAAACTT